TTGTAGACAGCGATAAGGTCTCCCCTCAGTCTCCTCTTCTCCAGGCTGAACAATCCCAAGTGCCTCAGCTGCTCTTCATGTGTATCTTGAAAACCTTCTTGACAATTGCGATGCGAATCTGACTCACTCTGGAGCTGCTGCGATGCCAAAAATCTCTTTCCAGAAGCTGCTATTTCCTCTCTTTTGGGCTGATTGAGCAAAGGCTGGGTTAGCAGCAATGTTGGACCCAGCAGCATTTTAATGGGACACGGTCCCTTGTTGGACTTGGCCAAGAAAGTCCTCTGTGAGCTTTTTAGTTTGTGGCTCACTTGGAGCCTGTGGCATACACGTGTGTGTTGTCTGTGATATACCCATGTTTTCATCCAGAGAGGGACTTGCAGCTCACAACAAAACCAATTAAGACAAGATACCCACCACCAAACATTTCATTTTTGCTCTGCACTTCTTTGAGGGACTCCACTTGGCCTATGAGGGGATCCAAGAAAGTCATCACATCCACGTTAGATGTGTCTTCTCTTTGCTGACTCATGTGCAGCCGTGGAGATGTAAGGTGCTGGGTCCTGGGTCATGAAGAGCTGCTTCAGAAGCACAGGCTGGGTGCAGGTCCCAGTGGCCTTGCAGTCCAGGAACGTCCGATAACTGCTTCACCCAGAGCCACATCACGGACAACCACAGAAACATCTCCCTTGCCAAGGGCCCTTTTGTTTTGGTTTTAGTTGGAAGGGGTCTGTTTTCACTTCCCGGTGACAGTGTAGACTGCACAGCAGCTGATCTCAACGCAATTTAGGATTATCTGGCCATTTTCAGATAACTGAACCGATTGCAAAGACATGCATGATGCCCTTAGACTTTCTCTTGCAGCCCATGGAGATGTCCTCCTTGCAAGGGCTCAGCATAAGGGCTTAAACCATTTTATAGCAATTTAGCTACCTTGCAAGAGTCCAGACCTGCAGGTGGAGGAGATGAGGATCACGTCTGTTTGCAACTGCACCCTCCAAACCTGCCTGTTCCTCCTGAGCATATAACCATGGCTTGAGGGTTTGCAGCCTGAGGGTTGGAATCCAGGGATTTATGGGGGCAGAAAGGTGGAAGGTAGATATTGTAGTGGTGCTGTGGTGGAGTCCTACAGGGAATTCTCTCCTCTGTAAAGGCAGCAAGGCAGCGCCACGCTGTATCATGTCTTATTGTGTGCACCTGCAGTCCCCATCCTCACTAGAGAGATTGCTCCTATGGAGAGTTGGAACTAGATGGTATTTAAGATCGCTTCCAACCTAAACTATCCTGTGATTCTAAACTGAAGAGCTTGTCTGCCTCTGCAGAGCCCTGGCAGCTGATGAGCTTCAAAGATAGGTTTCTAACGACCCAGGGACTTGCAGGTTTCTGCCCAGCCCCATCGCGACACAGACTGCCATCTCCTCCAGCGGCTTCTCCAAGACCTGACAGCCCTTTGCGGGTTGCTTTGCGGGCACAGCCGGTTGTATGTAAGTTGGAGTTTGGCCTCAGGAGGGAGGTATCTGCTGAGGTTCCCTGGCCAAGAGCCTAATGCTGTGTTTGTGATATCCTTTTAAGAGTTTGCCTGGCAGGTAGCCCAGAAAATGACAGCTCGTAGGGAAGCAGATGCTGAGGGAAATATGGTTCTCATCTGAACAGCTCTGAAGCGGTCCCCAGCCCAGGGAGGGACAGGCAAGAAACACTTTTTCCTCATTTATCTCTTGGGTATGCCCTCAAGGGAAGAAAGCAATGATTGCGGGGAACAGCCCCACAACAAGCAAATAACTCCTGTTTGCCACCCATCCCTTCTGCCCTGTCCTGCAGAAAAGAAGCAGAAGGGGCCAGAAAGTGGCTTTGGGTTGACCCGTGGAGGAAGGGTTGTTCCCATCCAGTGCAGACTCAGGAATGACTCGGGATTTGCAGGAATAGAAACATATCTGGACTCCTGGAGCACTCCCTAGCCATTAGCTGAGCTGGATTTGGCCCTTTCTTGGGTGGGATGTTATTCTTCAGCAGCTTGGAGAGCAAAGAGACTCTAAAATGTGGGGAGCTACCTGTATAACATGAAAGAGGCTGGGCTGGTGACAGGGAAGGGACCCTGATGCCAGCCTGAAGAGCATGAAGTCCTGGGCAGTGGGGCTGGTGGTGGACCCAGCCTGGGGAGATGACATGGCTCTCAGGAAGAAACGCAGCCCTGCAACTTGCCACTGGTGGTGCAGAAAGTCTCGGTGTCTCATTGATGGGATCACACTGCGTCTGCTATGTTTGCATTGAAGAGTTTGGGGAGATGAGGACTAGGAGATCTTATAGTGGCCTTCCAGAACTTGAAGGGGGCCTACGAGAAAGATGGGGATGGGCTCTTTATTGGGGAGTGTAGTGACAGGACAAAGGGTAATGGCTTTGAACTGAAAGAGGGTAGATTTAGATTAGATACTAGGCAGAAATTCTTCACTATGAGGGTGGCAAGATGCTGGCACAGGTTGCCCAGAGAAGCTGTGGATGCCCCCTCCCTGAAAGTGTCCAAGGCCAGGCTGGACGGGGTTTGAGCAACCTGTACTGGTGGGAGGGGTCCCTGCCCATGGCAGGAGGGTTGGAATGAGATGCTCCTTAAGATCCCTTCCAACCCAAACCATTCTGTGATTCTCTGATAGGACACCCAGCATCTGCAAGGAAGTTGCAAGGAGGGCAGAAATCTCCCTCGATGCAGGAAGCTACAGTGACTCCCCCTTGCACACCAGACAGAGGCACAGAGTCCCTCCTTTCTGGTGCTCCCTTTCTTGCCAAAATACAGCCCATCAACAGTCATGGGAGGCTGAAACTGGTCTGGATGCAGACAGTAGGATTTAACTGTTTGATGGAACTTCCCTATGTGTTTGGTCCCATCCACAGCAACTTTCAGACTGAGGGTCCATTCTGGGGCAGGAACGGGCTCTTTTCCCACAGCAACCAGGATGCTGTAAGATTTTACAAGCGCACACACACACACACAAAATCTTAGGACTGAGTGAAGGTCACTGTGTGCAAATTCTGCCCTGAAAAGCAAAACAGAACAAAACAAAAAGCCGAATTGCAAACGAATTGAGGTGGGCATTAACAGTTATATAATTGCAAGATAAAGCCTCACTTGGATGATAAGTTGAATATGTTTGGACCAGAACAGCTCCTTTATTTTGCACAATGTACTTCGAGCTTTGCACGGTATGATAACAAGAGCATTAGGCGTTGCACGGTTTTGCAGCAGATCTGATGACCTGGCTCCCAGGTGCAGTAAAATTGCAACCTCCGTGCGGTTCCTCAAGCAGCGTTCATGTGTCCTGTGGACCCTGGAGCTCCATTTCATGCCATTTGCTATTTTCCTCAAGAGTTACAAAGTCTGTGCCTGTGGCATTTGAAAGCAGCGGCACCAGGTACAGCCTGTTGCTCTGCAGAGAGTATTAATACCTGTCCAGGTGTCCTCCACAGTGTCTCTACTTGTGTGAGGACATCAAATCCCATGTGAGATTTAAGGAGACTTAGGATCTTCCTAGATTATTGCTTCCTCACTCCCCACACTGGAATTACCAGTATAATCATGTCAGTGTTTAAAAAACAGGAAGGGGTTTGTTTTTTACATGAAAAGCTCCAGGATCAGGATGACTCGGCGCAAAAACAAATAAAGACTAAAAACCAGACCTACTTGTTCAACCCCAGGTGAAAGCAAGCAGGAGGTACAAGGAGGTCTTAAATGGGAGCATCATGTGCTTCTTCTCTGATAGGCATTAGCTGGGATAAGCTGGAGAGGGCAGATGCCAGGTGACTCCTAAAGATGAAAAACCAGGTCTCAGAGGATGAGGGCTTTGATGCATCCAACTCACAGCTGATGCTGAACAGGGCATCTCCATCCTCACACCCTTCAGTGCTGGGTGCCAGATCTGCCATGAAGACCCAGAGAAGAACAAAATGTACGCCTCAACATACATAATGTAACCCATGAGCTGGGGAAGGTAAAGAGCTTGGATTGATATATTTATTTTTTTTAACCTCAATCTCCCATTCCCAGACAACACCAGGGCTTTCAGAGGGACAGATGGAGGGGACACATCTTTTCTCAGGCACTTTTTAAGGCATCTGCTTTAACAGGTGGTAGCTTGATGGCCATCAGTGCTTCCCAGTCTCTGCAGACAGACCGTGTTCGGTGGGATTTGATCTACCAAGTGATGCTTGTTTGCCCACAGACCTTTCTTCTCTTGTTCCCATGCCAAAACATGGGGCATGAAGAAGGTGGGATGTAGAGGGCAAAGCAGAGCACTGACTGGAAGCAACTCAGAAAAGTCTTTAATGACTTGGGAAAGTCCCAAATCTTTAATGTCTTAGGGAATGAAATAGAGTGTCCTTATAAAATCTGTGATGGCACTGAGTTGAAAGGGCTGAAAATCCTCCAGAGGCCATGATTACAATCGAAAGTGAACCCGAGAAGCGGAGGAGAAGGTCCAAAATCAATCAGCAAAACAACTCAATAAAGAGTAAAATCTTATATATGGGAGATAAAAAATTAAAAATCGAGTACTCAGTTAAAATGAGGAATTGATAGCTCAGGATAAAGCTATTGGGGACTGTACAGACAGGGCATAGTGCCCTGCTTTGTGGCCATTACAAAATATCAAGCGTCCTCAGGAGGTATTAACAGGATTTTAGGGGTAAAACATGGGCATTGTTGTTGTAGAGATCAAATCGAAAAGCCAGAAATCAAAGGGAGAGAGGTCTGATCCATGAAGACCTTTTGAATGCAGTGAGGTCCATCAGTCTTCTGGGAAGAGGGGGCCCTGGTGGCCTTTGGAGAAATAGGTGATTGCTGCGAGGATGGTGCTTGCTTCCTCTCCAGATTCTGGGGGCAAATAGGAAAGAAACCACCTCTGCGTCAAAGATGCATTCACACTGATAAAATTATTCAGCGGCAAGCCTAGTGAAGGCTTGGGCTCCATCCCAGGACCAAGCAGAGTCCCTTCAAATGCGTCACTCCTCTCCCAAAGCCCACCTCACTCCCAAGCCAACTCACTGCTGGCTTTTCTCTCAGCACAGTGCTGCATAGCTGCCTTCACCATCCTCTTCTTCACGCGTTTTTGGCTGGTCAGCGCCCTCTACGCCGCGTGGTGGTTCCTAGACAGGGAAAAGCCCAGCAAGGGTGGGAGGCGGATCCACATCATCCGGAACAGCGTCGTCTGGAGATACATGAGGGACTATTTCCCCATCACGGTAAGTGCCATCAATCCCCTGGGCTCTCAGGAGATTCAGGGATCAGCTCGCTCCTTGGTGGTTGGAGGCGAGTCTGGGGTCAGCATGGGGTGCTGGGAGTGTTGAAGTGTTGTCTTCCCAGCTCCCAGGTTACTGCAAAGCCCAGAAAAAAATGTAGAGAACCATTTTCACAAGCTTATCCTTTAATCACCTGCCTTTTACACACCCACTTAACCTCACTACAGTTGGGGAAATCTCCCCTTGCCTGTTCTCTCTGTCTATATCGCAACACTCCTGCTCTTCAGGTTGCTCAGCATTTAACCAGTGGACACAGAGTCAAGTTTTGACCAAAATCTGAGAGGTCCTCATGCCCTACAAGGTCAGAATCTCCTTCTGCTGAGAAAGAGGCTGGATGGGCAGTGCTGGGCCTGCTCTGAACATTCTCAAAGAATTGCTGTTCCCTTGAGCGCAATTTCTGTGACATTTCCTGGTTTAATTCAATGCACGCGGCTGGCCTTTGCCCTTCTTCTTTAGCTGGTATCCCCTTGGAGTGATGTGAATGCATGGACCACCACAGAGTCCTGCCTCAGAGCCATCACAAGTGGGTACAAGTCTGAACAACACAGCAGAAAAGTTCATGGGCTATGCAAGGGGGTGAGCTTCAAGGGTAGACTGAGCTATGGGAATTTGTAAGATAATTCCTTTAATTAAAGTGAGGCGGGAGCCACGGTAACAGAGGATGCAGAGAAGATGCAGTTACTGAATACTTGCTTTGCTTCAGTCTTTACTGCTCAGGCCAGCTCCCAGGAGGTAACAGAGAAAGTCTGGAGGAAGAAAGACTTTCCCTTGGTTGAAGAGAATAAAGTTAGAGGTTGATTAAGTAAACTGGATATCCACAAGTCCATGGGTCCTGATGGGATGCACCCATGGGTGGGGGGGAAGCTGACAGAAGTCATTGCTGGGCCCCTCTCCATCATCTTTGAAAGGTCCTGGAGAACAAGTGGAGTGCCAGAGGACTGGAGGAAAGCCAGTGTGACTCCAGTCTTCAAAAAGGGCAAAAAGGAAGATCCAGGAAAGTATAGACCAGTCGGCCTCACCTCCCTCCCTGGAAAGATGATTGAACAACTTGTTTTGGGCATCATCTCAAAGCATGTGGAGGAAAATAAGGTTACCAGAAGTAGTCAACATGGATTCTCCAAGGGGAAGCCCGATCTGACTAATCTGATAGCCTTCTGTGATGGCGTGACGAGGAGGACAGATGAGGGAAGGGCAGTAGATGTTGTCTGCCGTGACTTCAGCAAGGCTTGCAACACCATCTCCCACAGCATCCTCGTAGGCCAGCTTGGGAAGTGCGGGTTAGATGAATGACCAGTGGGGGGGATTGAAAACTGGCTGAAAGACAGAGCTCAGAGGATTGTGATTAGTGGTGCAGAACCTAGTTGGAGGTCTGTGGGGTTCCCCAGGGGTCAGTACTGGGTTCAGTCCTGTCCAATACATTCAGTGACCTAGATGAAGGGATGGAGCGTACCCTCACCGAGTTTGCTGATGACACAAAACTAGGAGGGGTGGTCACCCCCCCAGCAGGCTGTGCTGCTGTCCAGCCTGACCTGGACAGGCTGGAGAGCTGGGTGGGGAGAAACTGCATGAAGTTCAGTAAGAGCAAGTGTAAGTGCTGCACCCGGGGCAGAAGAACCCCATGGATCAGCACAGCCTGGGGGCTGACCTTCTGGAGAGCAGCTCTGAGGAAAAAGACCTGGGAGTCCTGGTGGACAACAGGCTGACCATGAGCCAGCAACGTGCCCTCACGGCCAAGAAGTCCAATGACATCCTGGGGGGCATCAAGAAGAGTGTGGCCAGCAGGTCGAGGGAGGGCATCCTCCCACTCTGCTCTGCCCTGGGGAGGCCACATCTGGATCCTGTGCCCAGTTCTGTGTCCAGTTCAAGAGGGACAGGGAAACGTTGAAGAGGGGACAGAAAAGGGCTACAAAGATGACTGGGGGACGAGAACATCTCTCTTACGAAGAAAGGCTGCGGCACGTGGAGTTTTACAGCCTGGGGAAGAGAAGACCTAGAAGGATCTCAACAATGTTTATAAATACATAAAGGGTGGATGTCAGGACGATGGGACCAGTCTTTTTCCAGTCGTTCCCAGAGACTGGACTAGAGGTACGGGGCACAAACTGGAACACAGGAAATTCCATCTAAACATGAGGAGGAACTTTACTGTGAGGGTGCCAGAGCCCTGGACCAGGCTGCCCAGAGAGGGTGTGGAGTCTCCTTCTCTGGAGAAAATCAAAATCTGCCTGGACACCATCCTGTGCAACCGGCTCTAGGTGAACCTGCTTTAGCAGGATGGTTGGACTAGATGATCTCCAGATTCCAAACTCTAATGTTCTGTGATTCTGTGAAATATTGCCTGTTGAGGGAACTCTGATGGGATGAACACACCTGGTTAGAGAAAGCCTGGAGTCAGAAGCTGGGTGCTTCAGTCCAGGTAAAATGAATCGGGGAACCCAAACATCAGAAGGACTCATCACCCCAAAGGAAAAAAAAACCCAGTCTGAGAGTCCACTCTGCATAAAGTAAGGACTGGGATAAAGATTCGGGGGAGCTGGAGCAAAGTGAGGACCAGAGATGACATGCCTGAGGTGACCTATCAGGTTTGTGGCTCAACCAGAAATAAGAACCAGCTCTTTTGAATCCCAGCCCGGCTCTTCAGCAGTAAAAGATGAGATTCCTCTCTTTGGTTTGCCAGGGAGAAAAAAACCACCACACTCCTAATAAAACACACCAAAAAATTTCAAAGTCCTTTAAGACTTGTGCAGAAGGAGATTAATTTAGGGCAGAAGTCCAGGCTGGGGAAAAAAATGAGAAGATAGGGTCTGTCTGGATCTCTCCTATGGTTTTTGAGTGAATCTTAGGCATAGTTGTGTTGTAACAACTCAGATGGGCACATCTGTCCCTGAAATGATGGTGCCTAAAATATATATTCTAATGACACATCATCCCATCTGCAGACCACAGCTCGGCACAATATTGACCCTTGTGCTGCAGGTAAAACCTGGTTACACAGACAGCGTGTCCCAGCAAGTTGCTGCTTTTCGTCAGAGTGGAAACATCGCTTGATATCAAGGCAAACCGTCGAGAAGAGCAACACCACGAATAGACTTAGGTCTGCCTTTAAAGGCACCATCTCCAGGATGCTCAAATGTTTCACCAGGAAAATCAGAGCTTTTTTTGATATCCCCTGATTTCCCCTCTCCTCATTTCAATTTTCGTCTCATCCTCCATATGCCTCTTGGCTTTGTGAAGGACAGTAGTGTCTGTGACTCTATCTGGTCCCTTTCCATTGCTGGGGACAATTCAGATAAATCCACTTCATTTTGCACTGTCAGATGGCACACGCTAGCCAATCTTCCCATGTTTCAGCATCTCCCGTAGCCTCTACAGGACAGTTCACGAGACTAAGTCAACCTCACCTGTGTCCTGTTGCCATTGCGCTTCTTTGCTCAAAGCCATGGCAGAAAGGGATGATAAGGAGTTATTTTATGGCGAATCTCAGAGCTTAACTTGTGGCTTAAGGGCTTCTGGATGAGCTTCAAAGCAAGGCCCTCCAAAACCGGATCATAATCTTCTGAGGACGAATGGGAACATATCCCAGGAAAGCTTGTAGGGAGTTATACCATAAGGGAGAGGTAAATATTTTATGATGTTTAATAGGAAACATGAAGTGGGCGCCTAATAAATTGTTCTCTTAGAAAATGCTAAAATAGCTTTGAGGGACTTAAGCGGATTTAATGATTATAAGAAATAAATATTCTGTAAATTATTTTTGGCCATAAGCCTCTGCTTGGGTAGTGTTAGACCAACCTCTCTGCTAAAACTTAGCTACCAGCTCAGCCCAGAGACAACTCTTCTTCTGTCCCTTTGTTGGGACATGGAAACCTTCTGAACCTTCTCCTGCATTGTCAGTCTGTCCTTCCAGGGAGGACCTGGCAAGAGGACCAGTAAGACCAGTAGAGGGAGCATGGATACTGGGTTTGCAGGCAGCTCCTTGGGTGAAGGCAGGAAGGGTTGGGCAAAGCCTTGCTCCACAAAAGGACATCAGAAAGTAAAAATGTAATGAAAATAGTATTATAACCGATCACATAATGCTATCTCCCCCAAACGTTTTCTCAGTCTTTCACGCTTAGTTTGCTCAAGGGATCTCTAAGTCAGAAAGCAGGACTTTGCAGCCCTTGCTGAATGTATCTTCCACCGTTTGTCACTACAAGAGGACGGAAGAACTCTTGGCATCCCCAGCATCCCCTAGCAAGGAGCTCCACAGGTGATCCATGCAGTGTGAAGACATCCCTGCTCCCTTCTCGTTTCACTAGAAACTCCTTCCTTAGCCCGTGGAAATCCTATCCCACCTACCCATGACACTCCCAGATCCCCCATCCTGTCAGCCTTTTTTTTCCTGCTTGAAAACCCTAGATGTGTTTACTTCCTTGCATGGAAGGCATTTCATGTCATCCCACTGAGCACCAGCTGATTTGCTCCCAGCAGAGTGGAATTTAAGCTTTAACCATCCTGTTCATGGTTCTCGTGAGCAACTCAATCAAGTCGATCAACAGGCTGCCCAGAGAGGTTGTGGAATCTCCATCTCTAGAGAGTTTCCAAACCTGCCTGGATACATTTCTGTGGGATCTACTCCAGGTGAGTAGAGGCAGGAGGGTTGGACTAAATGATCTTCAGAGGTCGTTTCCAACTCTGATCATTCCGTGATTCTGTGGGGTTTTGGTCTCAACAGACACAGCTGGATGCTTCCCTGGACCTCTCATTTAGAATCCCAGAATCGTTTGAGTTGGAAGGGACCTTAAAGATCATCTAGTTTTAACCCCCCTGCCATGGGCAGGGACACCTCCTGCCAGACCAGATTGCTCAAAACCGCATCCAGCCTGACCTTGGGCACTTCCAGGGATGAAGCATCCACAACTTCTCTGGGACACCTGTGCCAGGGTCTCACCACCCTCACAGGA